TTCTTCTTCTTCTTCTTCTTCTTCTTCTTTCACCGCTGCAACTCCTCCAGCGAACTAGCGGTGGCGAATTTCGGCCTTATCTCTCTCTCTCCTTTCTTCTTCTTCTTCTTCTTCTTCTTGGTAAAATAGTAAAATTAGTGAGTATCATATGTTGAAAGTTTGATCCAATACAAACAATAGGGATGTTTACAAACAATGTCAAACCGACCAACCTGGCCTAACCCAACCCGATTTGGTAGGTTTTTCTTCACCACCAGTCGGTTTCGGGTTGTGAAGAGGGGTAAAACGAACTGAATCAAGTTACTTAGTTAGTAGTTACTGGGTAATCCCTAACTAGGTTATCTCTATCATAGTTTCTTCTTTCTAGTTACTTAGTTACTTATTTTTAACATTAACTTTCTAGTTTCTTCTTTCTAGTCTTTAAGATTATTTTCCTTTTTTGAGTAGTAAATTTTACGCCAAATAGGAAAGTTTGAATATGGCTATGAGGGGGAAAGATACAATTTTAGTCAATTTCAAAAACCATTTTGGGGTTAGCAAGCATTGCAAGAAAAATCGTTACACCTTTAGACTTGCCAAACTTGGAAGATTTCTCATTTGATATTATGATAGGAGTCTTGGAGAAATGGAGAGTGGACACGTTGGAGACTTGGCTAGTTGGCTTCTTGTAGTTTTGGAAAGAGTAAAATTGAGGTTCTCTACTCTCTAAGGTATCCTTTACGTCAAATAGGCAAATAGGATTATAGGAGTCCTAGTCCTTCCTAGACTAGAGGTGTAGGGTGGTGCATTGGTAGGTTTAAGCTTTATTGTGTGTGGTGCATTGGTAGGTTAAGTTCTATAGGTTGTGGCTGAATCATTCAACCAAATTGGGAGAGATTTTTTAGTAGCCAAACCGGCTCAAACCGACCAGGTCAGTTCTGCTTAATAACATGTCAGTTTCGGTTTACTCTTTAAGTAACCCAACCAGGTCAGGTCGTTACTATCAAACCGACCCAACCCGACCCGTGAGCAGCCCTAACAAACAACTTTATTCAGAGCCCCTAAAAAGTCAAAAAAACAACTGTCTCTTTTCAGATTTCAAATTTTAGATTTATCAAATGCCACCTTAGTATTGTTGTATTTTATTGGATAAAAATTAATAGTAAAATTTCAATTCAGAAAAATTCTCATTGAAATTTTAACTATATTGGACTCAGGTTAGAGTTAGGGTTTGGACCCATTGAAATTTTAACAAAATTTCTAACCCTACCCAACCCAACCCAACCCAAGTTACATTTCTAATCAAATGGCCCCAAAACTGCTTATGTGACCTTGTTTGAAAAGCCAAAAACACTCTTATCTTTTCATAGGATATTTATGGAAAAATGTGATTTTCCCAAATCAATTCCCATTCTACACATTAAATCCAAGCATCTCAGGGGTTGGGTTAGGTAGAATGAGATGATGTTTAAAATTTAACTTGGGCTAGGCTTGGGTTGGCCCTCTAAAACTTTGGTGCTGGACCCTGATAGGGCCTAAACCTATACATTCTACACAAGTTTGATGACACCATCTGATATCCAAAGAAACATATTATAGCAATCAAATGGTTAGAAATGGCTCTTCATCAAGTGGCCACAATGCGTGTATAAAGAAACCACAAACAATGAAATAATGTTAACAATTTTTCCTTTCAAGGCATAGTATGTTTAGTATCGTGGCATTTATTTTACTAAACGTTTTGTATTTTTTTATCTTGAAAAATGATAAAGTAGGTGATAAATGTTTATTTAGTGTTATTTGACAATTAGGCGCCATTAGATCCCACATAAGCTCAACATTAAATAAATGATTGGGTGTTAGAGAAAACATTAAAAATGATATTTCTTCCAATAGTGAATTCTCACATAAACCAAGAAAACGTTTATTTAATAAATGATTTTACTAAATAATAGTGTCTCCCCCCAACGCCCTACATGGCGATGACCATTTTCAAATAAAGGGGCATAAAACCAAACAACATGCAAGTTATAGCTATCTCTTTTTGAATTGTCATAAATTACATGTGACAGCTCATCAGTGACTAAGAAAAAGTAAAACCAGCTAATAACTTGAGCTTTTTGGGGTTTCCACCAAATTAGATGTCATTCATGTGGGTCCATTAAAAGATGCTTTCCACACAACCCCACCTACATATAATTGGGATTTGGTGAGAAATTTGGAGAGCCCAAATCGGTTGTCGATTAGTTGTTTGGAGTGCTTTCATGTCTATCAGGGGTGTAAACGGATTGAATTCGAATTGGATCAGATAATATCCAAATTTGAATCTGATTAAAAAATTCGATATCTGACGAATATTGAAAATTAATATTCAAAATTGAATTCGATTAAATATTTGAAATATTCGATTCGATTTGAATTCGACTAATTAATTATTTTAGGTAATTAATAAATATATAAAATAAATATTTTATTTATATAAATATATAAATTATTTATATAATTTAATTATTATGTATATAAATTATATAAAACATTTAAAAAAAATTATATATTACATATAAGAATTAAATAATTGGTTGAATTCGAATATTTATCGAATTAGATCAGGTCATGTCCAAATTTGACCGGTTAGATATTCAAATTATCTGAATTAGATTCGATTATGTCGAATCTTGAATTCAAAATCAGATTTTCGAATACCGTTGACACCCCTAATGTCTACTACAGCCTTTTTGAATGGTTTATTTGAAACACCTCAAAGCAGTTTAACAAACTTGGTTTAGAGTCCATTTGTGAGGGTTTCAACTTTGATTGAGTTGCATTTGGTGATCATGCAAAGAATTAACCTATTAAAATTAATTTCACTAGAAAGTCAATTTCTTAGTTGAAATAATGCATGCTTGAGCTCTTTGGGGTTTTCACCAAACTAGTTTATAGGTTCTCAGGGAGAATTGTTCTTGGGCAGGCTATATGAACATTTTACCACTATAGGAAAAATCGGCTTTAGCGACGAACATTGCAAAAAGATACCAAAAACCGTTGCTAAAGGATATAGCAACGGTTTAGCCATGGTTTTTTGTCAGTGGCGGATATTGGCGTGGCTAAAGCCTATAGCCACGGATATTATACACCGTGGCTACAAATATATGTATAACAACTGTTTTAACTGTTGCTAATAAAAAAATTTATTGCAACAGATTTATTTTGTACTGTTGTTACAAATTGCTATAGCAATTGTTTTAACCATGATTATAGAATATGGGCTATTGATGAATAAGTAGAAATAACAATGGTTTTAAGTAAAACCAACACTAAAAGTATTAATCATGTTTTTTTTTTGTATTGCCACAGTTTTTTACATTAATTGTTGCTATAAAATTATTATAGCAACGGTTAGTGTTAAAAACTGATATTGTAGAACGGTCATCACAAAATATAATCGCTTCTAAAACTGCTGTTGTATGGCACCTTTAACTAAAACCGTTGATAAAAGTTTATTTCTCATTTGATTTTTTTATGAATGCTATTACAAAAAATAATAATAATAATAATTTCACATGTTCCTGTATGATAAAACCTATACAAACTTATACAAAATATTCATAGTAATCTTTGTTCAATACACACTTCTAGTAATTTTTTTTTCATCACCAAAAGAGAAAAGAGAATTAACGAAATTATCCTCATTGTATCTGAATAGTTGATTATATGCACGTGCATCATACTCAAGACCTTCGCTTTGGATCATAAACTTCGATCTATCGTGTTCAACAAAAATGAATACATAAGGATTGATGTCAATAATTAGATATATAAATTAAATAATGTAAGATTCTTATATGCATTATACATTACCATTGATTTAACCATGCGATATGAGATTCAAGTGCATCTCCAAAAGTTACCATATTACCACATTTTCTCAACAAAACTAAATCATTAATCATTACTGATTTTAAGGATATTTCACACCATCCATGACCAAGTGCTTCATCACACACCACCTTTTTAGGATCTTCACGAACAAATATACCTCTTGCCACATCTTTCTTATCATATCCTAGGTAAAGGAGATTCATAGGTTTGAATGCCTGCACATTAAATCATTTTAGGATTATAATCATATTTTTCAAAAGAAATAATATTTATTATATTATACTAAGAATACCTCATCCAAATTTTCATTTGCACATCGAATGGATTGATTGTTACCCATACGTAAAGGAATGCATCCAACTCGTATTTCCTAACGGTTAAAAGTATAGATATTAAATATTGTTTACTTATAATAAATTAGTATTCTACCTCATGTGGGGTTATCACTACATTATAGCTACTCGTAGAGGAATGCATTTGGTGTAGAGAATTTAAAGGAACATTTTCAACATTTTGGACCTAAATTACAATAAAGTATCATTATCATATATAATCAATCCAGTTGTTATATATATAATTATTTAGTTATTGTAAGAAACAATACTTGTCTACCTAGCACAAGATTCCTTAATTCAAAAACAATTTGTAACCATATCCTTCATTTTGCCCTCTAAGTTACTGATTTTATCTTTTAATTATCAATTTTCAATCTCCATTTCAATATTTGAGACAGGTCTCCTTGGTTCAGGTCCCCATAAATCTGTTGGAGTTAAACCTAATCCCATCAAGCGCACTCGATCACGCCTTTCTAGCTTACCGATGATTTGAGCAAAAATATCATCTTGGGCGATAACACTTCTCTCTGAGGATTCTTCATTATTTTGTTGAGAGGATGCAAGCTCATCGATCTTTGACTACAATATATTAATTAAACAATATAATTTATAAAATTATATGCAAGCTCATCGATCTTTGCGAATCTGTGCTAAACTTTTTGTTCATACACAGTGGTTTACTTTCTTCAAAGCACAATTATTTTTGTTTACTTTGTTAAATGTCTAATAAAGAAAAGTAAAAAAAGCAATATATTAGTATGTTTAAATAAGAAATCATTTTTAATGAATTTAATTTGCATACCTAAAAATTTTTCAGATTGCCACATTTGAAACAAATTTACCCACTATTCTTTAACAACACGATCCATTGGAGGAGTAAGTTGTTCTGCTATTGGAACCCCAGGCTTATAAAAATCTCGATATAGAATACATTTCCATTACTTCCATATTGCATTTAGGTCCTTTAAACACCATTATTTACGATCATCTGAAACATCAAACCTATCCTGCATTGCATATGTAAGAATGAGATTTTATATATCATAATTCATCACACATATTTGGTTATTTGAAAAATGTTAAAATCCAAAATACAAATAGTGAATAAATTGAAAAGAATACCTTGATAAAACCCCAAGCACGATCTTTAGTTGTATTCAATACTTTCTTCCAACTATCCACATCGATAGGTACAATATTTCCATTACGTGCTATTGTGCCAATAAACTGAGACAACTTTCCATCTTCTGGTTGACCATACTTATTAAAAGATACATAAATACACTCATTATCATTCATTTTATACACATCTTTACGAAAAGTGGGGCCTCTTGTTTTCTTGTGTTGTGAGGACTCTATTTGTGGGGGTAATTGGTCTTCAATTTCCTCCTGAGAACGATGAGAGGGCATAGGGTCTACTTGGGGTTGAGAAGCTTGAGGGTGTTGCAAATGAGATTGCTGTGGTTGTTGTGTTTCAGTCTCTTGTTCTTCAACTTCCCTATCTAATTGAGAATTTGGGACTTGCTGCACTCGATTTGTTTGAGATCGTTTTCTTTTTGGTGCCCTAAAAATCCAAGGGAATCAAAATAAGATGGTGCAACAAAGAAAGCCCATCTATGGTGTGGCCCTCAATATTCAGTCTTTCTTGAGGTAAGCTGGAACTGTGATATTATTTGCCAATACTCGGTCTTTCTTGAGGTGTGTCCCTAAATGCTAGACTGATAAGATCAAGTAAGGAATAAATAATTTACAGGACTATATGACAAAAAACGAATGAATTCTGGGAAGATGACAAAAAGGAAGGAATAATTTACAGGACTATATGAGATTTCAAAGAATACAGATAAGAGTTGCAGTATGACTAAAGATATGCTGCAATTGAAAGGAAAGCATAAATGCATACAAGCAAAAGCTTAAATGGAATAGAATATGCAATCTAAACATTCTTAACTTACAGTCTATGTGAAAAGCAAGGTGATATCTGCAGCAGTATCTACTGGATTGAATAACTAGAGAGATAAAAGAAAGTGTAAAGGAAACAGGTATGCTGGACTAGTTGAGGTGTTGGCTCTGCTATGGCTAACTAATTAAGCATAAATGCATACAAGCAAAAGCTTAAATTGAATAGAATATGCAATCTAAACAATCTTAAGTTACAGTCTACGTGAAAAGCAAGGTGATATCTACAGCAGTATCTACTGGATTGAATAACTAAAGAGATAAAAGAAAGTGTAAAGCAAACAGGTATGCAAGACTAGTTGAGGTGTTGGCTCTGCTATGGCTAACTAATTATGTAAACCAAACCAATTCAGGTAAGGTATTTTACCAGAGTTCCCTTAAGAATATGGATATGCCCCCAAAATATCTATTATGAAATTGACCAAAGTACACTCACTTATAAAGATTGACATTGAATATATAGCAAAGAGACTTAAAGGTTTCAAACCATGCTGAAACAAGGTTATCCAGTTTAGCTCAATATTATCATTTCCCAGCCTCTGCCAAGAGGAGCTCCAGGAAGTTAACAAGTTACTTAACAGGGAAATGGAGGTTAGAGTAGGCATCAGGAAGTTTGGCCCGTCCTATTTTAGCAATGATAATCTGGACTCTGATGATGCCATGCATGTTCAGAATGCATCTTCATTCAAACCAAAAATTTATGCAGGAAACAGCACCAATAGTCACGGTTCCAGTCCACATCTTTCTTCCAATGATCTTATATCATCTTTATACAGTCAGGTTGAACATCCTTCAACTGTTGATACTACTAAAGAACCATTGGAAAATGGATTTAATTCAGCCCAAATGGGCATGAATTCACAATTAGTGAATGGGCGAGGTGATGGTATGATTTCACAATTATTGAATGTACAAGATGATGGCATGAATTCACATTTAGTGAATGAACAAGATGATTTCAACAAGAATTCCTGCAAGTTTAAAGATGCCTTCTCATAAACTAGAGTTGGAGATCAAAGTTGCAGATTTAGGATCATAGACACAGATGAAAAATTACCATGGTAAGTTATTATATACATATGAATTCATATATACATACATAATCCAGGTTGTCTACTGACCTTCCCTAAATGACTTAAAAACCTTTAACATAGTAAGTTAGTTTGCAGCTCAAAAGGATTCTCCAAATTCCTTTCCCAGTCCTTTATCTAAGGGAACAAACCAGCTCAAAAGAAATAGCCACATTTTCAAAATAAGCCTTCTTGTGTAGGCATCATATGGGTTATATAATTAAAAAATGGATAGATATTATCAACTGGACATCCCATTAGAAGGTTGGACAGTATGAATCAGCTGCAGGACCCTTCTTCAGGGCAGAAATAGGTGTAGGGAGGAAAACAACATAACTGCTTAAAAGATGGGCATCAATATAACTTTATCCATATGAATGAAAATTTAAACTATTTGGTCAGTTGGATTAAGTGGTTTATATCATTGAGCATCTCTAAACAAGTCACCTTGATTTTGTACAGCACGAAGAGGCGGCTCTATGCATTTCCAAATTCCAATAATTAATATGACCCAGAAATAAATTGATAAAAGTAATACTCACAATTTAACAATGGATATGTTATTAAAGATGTTAGACAGTTTTGTATGCCCTTAGCTTCAATCAGAATGATGTACATTATGAGTTTATTGTAAATGAATAAAAGTACATATTTGATTCATGTTCCCTTGGTATGTTTCTGTGTAATACCCTTAA